CAAAGATTACTAGTATTCTATCAACATCTTTGTACTAAGAGATAAGAAAGAATAATTTTTTATTTTTTTTTTTCAGGAATGCAGGACAAGGACTGAGAAACTGAAACCTGGAATGATAGTAAAAAACCAAGAACAAGTTACTGAAAAAGACAACTTTTGAGATGGTGAAAAAAAGACATCCTTAGAATGAAAAAATTCTAAACACAGTTTCTTGGTACCTGCTGAGTTCAGAACGTAACTCCCTTCTATAGAGCCAATACATTTTAATTCCATAAACACAATCTCCCCCCCTTTAAATAGGAAATTAGATGAATTCAAGATCAAACTACAAACTTTGAACTTAGTCTTGCAACTCAAGGGATCTCAAAACTATGCCCTTAATTCCTTTCCTTCACCTGAAATCCAAGAAATATCACAGACAACAACAAAGCAGTTGCAGGACTGAGGTATTCTGCTTCCAACAGAACACTCTTAAGTTATCGACTTCTACTGCTGTAAAAAACAGCTGCTCTTAAGTGCAATAGCCATTCAATCCTGGATTCAGGAAAAAAAAAAAGAAAAAAAGTAAACCAGACATTCACACTGCTTCTATCTCCTCACAATCCAAAATAAAAATCTCACCCTGCCTCTAAGATTCAGTTAAATCTGTTCCACCAACGCTACCTTAATGTAGCACTTAGTTTTCCCCTTAACAGTCAAGCTCTTACATTTTGCAGATTTGTCCTACATAATGTTCCTGACATGGCCTTTCCACCTCCCAAAACAGCCAGCCCATCTCTGTCTTAAAGTAATATCCTTTCTCCAACTTCTGCCAAACATCTTACCCTGAATTCCAAACTCTGCTGAAAAGATGCCTATGAAACACTGACTCCACCTGAGTGGTCACAGATAACTGCTCCTATATTTGCAAGGATCTTGCTTTATATAATATTTCTCCTTGTGCTTCAAAGAAACTTCCTTAAATATTCACAGACACATCATTTTTTGTTTGTATTTCTTTCAAATCTCTTGCCACCATTCCTCTTTGAAAGGGGAGACTTAGCCTTCTTGGTTATTTCCTTTCAGTTGTCCACATACTGCCTCTTATGCATAGACTATACATATTTTGTGAAGTTAAGTCCTTTTCTTTCATACTAGTCCAAAACTTCAGATAGTTCATCTCATGTTTAACGCAGTGAGACAAGTAATAATAAGTAAATATGCTGTTCCATTAACTAGCTGGTTGTTTCCTAACAACAACAAACCTAAAGATTGCTAAACACGTGATAAAACTTACCAACATAAGCCCCCAGCTCCTGCAACTTTCCTTTTATAGCACCCTAAAAAAATAATGAAACAGCATTTAAGGGATGGAGCAACAAAGTATTTCTAACTGCAAAACGGTGGAAGGTTTTGCACAGTTTTTCTCATTAAGTAAAGATACTGGTTACTTTTCCTGTTCTCTATTGTTCATGATATAAATGTTCTAACAGTGAGGGTCTGAGAGCAGAATAGCATGAACTGTCAGGAATCTCACAGTCTCTACCATATTTCCTCTATTTTTTCCAGTTTCTGGTGCTACCAGACCACCTCCAAGTCCCAGCTGACTTTTTTTAAGCAGTGACAGCTCGGGCTCATGAGGTGCAAGGAATACGAACCCAAGGTGGTTTAATTAAAGGTCATTCCCGACTCAGCAAGAAAATAAAACAAACACCTGCCAGGATTTTCAAGCCGTGGCTGCTGAGGGGGAGCAGCTGAGGGGACTTGACGGTACCGGGGGCTCACACCAGCCCGCCCGGCCACGGCTGCTCCCTCTTCCCGGGCAGCCCCCGGTGCCGGGCCTGCCCCCCCGGCGGGACACCGCAGGGCGACAACTCCAGCTCCGGGGCAGAGGCGGCAGCCGCCTCCCCGGGTACGGCAGGACCCCGGCTCTGCTTCCCAAAACAACGGCTCTCCTGCTCATCACCCGCCCCGCGGAGCCCCGGGGCCGAAGGCCGCCCGCTGCCGGGTGCTCCCGGTAACCCCGGCCCCGCTGGGGGTTCACCCCCCCGCTTCCTTCCCCCGGCGGAAGGGGGCTCGGCGGTGCGGGGCCCGCACAGCCCCGGACACCTTGGCGTCTGACGGGAGGCCGGAGGGAAGCCGGCGCCTCAGCCATCAGCCGGGCCTGCCTCCCCACAGCGGGGTCAGGCCCTTGCCACGGGTGGAGAGGGAGCGCCCCGGCTGCTTCTCTCTCACCCGGATCTTGCGGCTGATCTCGGTGCCGATCTCCATGGTGGTGGTGGCGCCGCCCCGGTCCCTTCCCGCCGCGCCGTGCCCCCTCTCCCCTCCCACCGCGGCCTCCCGGTTCCCTTCCCGCCGCAGGCCGCGCCGCCTCTGGAGCGGCCGAAACCGGCAGTGCGAGGCCTCCGCCTGCGGCGCCCCCTGCCGGCCGGCGGCGCTCCCTCCGCGCCGCCCCCTCCCCGGCCGGCGGGCCCCGCCTGCCGCGCAGCGGGCACAGGCCGCAGGTGGCCCGCTCGCCCCCTGAGCCGGTGGCCGCGGGGAGAAGGGGGAACGGATCCCCGCCCGGGCCGCCCCTCGCCGCAAACCGCTGCTGAGCCCCCGGCTGCGGCCCGTGCTGCTGGGCGAGTACGGGGCGGCCACAACCGCCTCGGGAGTCTGGCCCTAGAGTAAAGGAGAAAAACGTATCTTTTTAGTGTATTTCTAAACAGTTGTGTTTCATCTACGCTTAATTAGGCAAGTGGCACATTCAGCTGGTTTTTAAGTTACCTCTTTCTTCATTCCTGGTTTTTATAAAGCTGGTTTATAAAGTGCTGCCACATGGCTTGGGGTAAGTATGGAGTGTCCTAAGACTTAGGTGGGAGGTTATTTTAATATTGGTTCTCTTCCTTAAAAAGTACAAAAAACCGAAGATTTAAATATCTGTTTGTTAAAAAACCAAATCCATTATGGTATAGGAATACACAAAGCGTCAAAGTAGTTTTTGATGCCGTGCTACAGCTATGCTATAAAAGCATTTTACTACGACATTTCAGTTGTGTGACCTCACGTTAGACTGATAAGGCTTAAAAGAACATGTTTTTTTTTCCCTTCCAAAGAGTTGCCGCATCTCCTGGCCTTACTGCTGCCCGGGGGCGGCGGCAGAGGGAGGAAGGACTCGGTGGAAGTGGTGTTTGAGCCACACCATTCATCTTCTCACCAGCGTCCCAGCTTGGCTTCAGCTGATTTCAGAGCAGTGACACCACAGCAAGCACAGCCCACGGATAAAGGCTCTTCCACAGGTAATGCCACGGGGTAAAATAAACTCCAGGCATTGTAGTTAGCAGCTGGATTAATCTCTTCCTGCATCACTGCTCCTAATATAAACCAAGCACCATCCAGAGATAGCCTGGACTAATTATTGCTAATGATCTGAGCTGTTTGCCTGCCTATACTTATAATACACTGCAGTTACAGTGAGATATGGCTAGTAATAGATTGGTTTAATTACAACATTCCATTTTAACTTTCAAGAGACACATTTTGCTCTCTTCAGATTTCAAGTACATTGTATTACTTTATTATCGGAACAAGAAAAATAATTATTGAAGGACAGAAATAGGAATTGAGTTTATTTCATAAGCAACTAACGGCTTTACTTTAGAAAGAAATATTGTGTTTAAGAAAGATAACGTATCCTTTGTGAATAACATCAGGAGCTCACAGCTTCCAGCTCAGCACTGCATTATGTGTAGGAAAACTGCCTATTTTCTTCTAGGAAAACTCTATGACCTTAATTAGTTACTTAGTAGAACGTGGCTGAACATTTTACAGTGCCCTATAAGTAAAAATGAATCTTGCAAACCTGACATTTCAGGCTTCAAGCATGTAATAGAGGTATTGTACGCTCATTTTTCTAGCACCTTCCATTCTCTCCAGTACCATCAAGAAATATGTAATGAAGCATCTCTTGTTTTTTCACAAATAAGAAATGGAATGATGAAAAAACAGGGATTCTTCAGGCTAGAACACAGAAGTGATGAAGTGAATTTGTTCAGAGAACAGCTTTAAGAGTCTCATGTAGAATCAGAGGCATTTTGACTTTTCAGTTCATCTGCTCCCTATTTTGCATGGCTAGTGAGTAAATCGCCAAATTAGTACTTTAATTATACACTAAAATAAGCTACAATGCACTAAATCACTAAAGAAATACTTTTCCACATGACTTCTTCGTTGTTCTTCCTGGGAATGCGCCTTTAACTAGGAGTTTCTGGATAATCCTGCCTGTGTTTTTCCTCTCAAACGGGTAACTCTGCACTAGGCTGAGGAGCACACACATCCCTACCGCTTTTCTGCCGGCAGGGTGACTGATTCAGCTTCCTATTTGGCTCATTTCCACCTTTCTGTCTAACTATTAGCCAACGCAAAGACCTGATGCTGGAGAGAGTTCCCAGAACTGGAAGGAGGTGAATACTTGCGTCAACCTTCACCCTGTTGGCTGATACACTCAACTGCAATCACGCATGTGGACCAGGATGGAAAAAGAATTAAAACTGTTCCAGAAGGGAAGATGTCAATAAGAACAAAGTAGGATTAGCCCTGTTCCACCGTGGGCGGCCAGGTTCAACCCCAACGGCAGAAACTTTGTACTTCTAGAAGAAGGGCTGCAACATTCAGCTGTAGGATATTAGTACTCCTACCTGGAGTGCTGTGTCCAGCTCTGGAGTCCTTAACACAGGAAGGACATGGACCTGTTGGAATGGGTCCAGCATTGGGCCACGAAAATGATCAGAGGGATGAAGGCCCTCTGCTATGAGGACAAACTGAGAGAGTTGGGGTTGCTGGACAAACTGAGAGAGTTGGGGTTGTTGGGGTTGCTGGAGAGTTGGGGCCTGGAGAAGAGAAGGTTTTAAATTGAAAGAGAGGAAATTTAGATTAGATACTAGGAAGAAATTCTGTACTCTGAGGGTGGTGAGACACTGGAATGGGTTGCCCAGAGAAGCTGTGGCTGCCCCATCCCTGGAGGGGTTCAAGGCCAGGCTGGATGGGGCTTGGAGCAACCTGGTCTGGTGGGAGGTGTCCCTGCCCATGGCAGGGGGGTTGGAACTCCATGATCTTTAAGGTCCCTTCCAACCCAAACCATTCTATGATTCTATGATTCGTCTTTTCCACCCATAATCTTCAACAAGAGAGTAAAGAGTGCAGCAAAAGGTGCGAGTGTTTCACCCATGCATATTGTCAGCCCTGAGCAGGGGCTAAAGGGGAGAAGCAGAAGCACTTCATAGCACCCCGAGGCAATCACTCTGTGCCTTATTGATGCGTATCAGTATCAGAGTTCATCACATGTTCATGGATGCCTTGGTCTCTTTGTCCTATTTATTAGAGTGGATGAGAGCTGATAAGGCAAAAAATGAGATAGGGCAGATTGGAGAAAGTGCGGAAAAACACAAAGTGAGGATTCAAACTGGGATTATAGGGAACAGAAATGAAAATTTAATTCTGGAATGTTTGATGAGCTTCAAAAAGAGAAGATGTAAGCTGCAGAGCAGCATATTGACAATACCCTATTTGTCTCTTCAGATGATGTGTTGTCCTTAACATAAATACAAAGAGAGAAAATACAGTAAGGGGTAACATGGAAAGTAAGAAAACTGTAATAAATGCAACTTCTAGGCAGAGAATCAGGCAGGAAATGGGTGTGATTGAAGTTCAGAATAGGAAATGTGACAGATCAGAGAATTCAGACCTTGTTTCCAGTATGAATTGTTTAGAAATAGGAAGGGTTGCTTCTGTTACCCTGAATTTTCATGGCTTGGTTTGTCATGCATTGTATTGGTCAGTTTTCTCTGTCGAATAACCATAACTCTGGCCTGTAGCAAGTACCATTAAAAAAGGGTATCTGCCTAGTTCATTTCGAAGTTAGGTTATTTTATTCAGTGTGAAAAAATTCCCCTGAATGAGGTCTTTCCTTGGCTTATGGGCTGCTCATCATAACTGGGGCTGATGTGCGGGGGAGGGAAAAAGATTCCCCCGATTAGAGGAAAGCCCATTGTGTCTAAGAGAAGTAACTCAGAAGAATTCATCAGAGTACAAAATTACCTACATACTTCAGTGGAGATTAGTGCCCTCCCGAGTAACAAGCTATTTGCATAGCAGATCTGCAGGTTAGACCTGCTCAGACAGTAGCTTTATGTTACCAAAACACTTTCTAAGTTTTAGCCATGAGTCAGCGTTTGCACCCTCACTTTACCTTTCTCCTCATCCTGGACCTGTTGCGAGTTTGTATATACGTTTGTCTGGCTCACTGGAGTGCAGCCCCTCATATGATGCTTGCATTGTTTAAACACAATATTACTTAACTAATATGCATTAAATGCTTGATAAAGTGGTTGTTATTCAAAGCATAGTTTCCTCTGACACCTTTGGGAGTTTTAAGTCCAAGTAAAAGCTGAAAGATGTTTAATCTGCATTTTTTTTGCTATGTATATTACCAACAGCTGAAGCTTTTCAATTATTTTTGTTTTTAGCTGCAGACGTGAATGTATGTGCGTAAGTCATGTGGTATTGAACACGGATTAAGCTTTTAAAACTTTTCCAAGCTGCGTGAAAATAAGACCGACGGATATTTTTTGGCAAGAGATTTGCCTTAATTGGAAAGGCTTAAAATAAATGATCATATGATTAAAAAAAGCAAGGATTGCCTGCTATTTGTTGTAACCCCTATTTCTGTAATGCCCCCGTAGCCAGAGAAGCAGCTGTTCATTGCTGACATTCTCCCTGCCAGGCATTCCAACTCTCTGAGGTAATGGGCTACAAGCATACGGGCCTTCGCTTTAATTCTTTCAGCGTATCCTTCCGCATGGATAGAGCGAGGGGAACGCCTCCAGGAAAAGAAATTAAATGCACACACACGGAGGCACACGGAGACGGGCCATTTGAAAATATTCCCCAGAAAACGCCGTTTGCGCTCATGCAGCGCAGCGTCACGTGAAGGAGGCAGCCCTGAAGAGCTGGCCGGCACAGGTTTATTTTGTTGTAATATTTTTCTTCCACCCCCAGCTCTTTACCCAGTGGAATGATATCCAGAGCGAGTTTTTTGAGACAGGAAGTGAGGAATGTTTTCACTATGAGTGATCTGAGAAGAAGGTGGGTTAGCCGAGATAGCAGCTGTTTCGGCCGAGAGGAACACAGTAAGTCAGTTCCTGAGGAATACCGATGAGATGGCTCCGGGAGAAGAAGTCTTGGAGCACTGTGGGGTTTTTTCGGCTACACGTATGTGAAAGGAGACTCGGTGTCTTTGGATCGCTGCAAAAGGTAAGGGGAAAACAGCAGTCACAGTAAAAAAACAAAATACTGGGTGATCTTCTCTGCTGTGCACCGTAAGGACTGAGGAGTTTCAAGCACTTTTAGTTTTTGAAAAGTAAAGGCTGTGGAACTGCGCTTCTGGAAGTAGGGGAGGTTTGAGATAGGCACTTATTGCTGCTCTTTCAGTCCAAGAGTCATGTCAAAGATTAACTGGTAAAACAAGGGGAGGGTGGAGTGTTCTGGGGTTTTTTGGCTCCCTGAATGTTTCTGAAATAAATACAAGTATTTTAAGCATTTGAAATAATAGGAATCGTTTTTCGGCATGGTATATTTTACACACTGGCATTCATGCAGGCTTTTTAAAAAATCTTGGTAAAATAAAATGCTGATTATTGAGGGGGGAGTGAGAGGTGTAGGTGAAGAAGGATACCACTGTGCTCAATAACCATGTGTCAGTCGCAGCCATGTTGCTGAAATTCTAATATAACATTTTTGAAACTAGATGTTTGTGTTGAAATATAAACATACAAAGTTACTTAAAGACATTTTCAGTTTGAAAATTCCAGGCTTGCTAAATAAAGGCTTGTTATTGTAGAGGTTGTCAATTGGGTTTGTAACTCCTGGTAGTATGTAGTTTCTTTTCACTTAAGTAACTTTATAACAATGCAGATGTGTCTGAATTTAGAGCAACGCACACGGTAAATATGAGAGCACTTAGCACTGCAGAATGCACAGCTGCTGAATAAAACCAGCACAGCTGTGTTTGCAAGAGTTACACATGGCTAGCAGAAGTTACTGAATGGTTCCTCTGTATTATTCATCAAACTTGCCTTTATTCTACAATGTTAATTTATTACATGTCAGGAAGATTTTTTTTTTAGTTGGTCTTTTGTGACATGGACTGGAAGTTAGTTAAGTTTTCCTTGTTATAAATGTGTTTCAGAAGTAATGAAGATTACGTCAGACGTGTACCGCATTAAAATGAAGGCGTTTAGGGTAAATGTTCAGTAGAGCAATAAATGCAAACCACAGATCATAACCTGAAAAGCGCTCCTGGCACGTTCGGAAAATTCTGCTCTAAACTTCCTTCCCATGCTCGCATTGCTACCTGTCTGCAGAGCGAAATAACTGCAAGTCTGCAATTACTTTATGGCAGCAGTAGATGGGTTGGGAATTTCCCCTGTCAGGTCAGCCTCTGGTTAGTGATTTTTTTTAAATTTCTTTTCTTTTTTTTTTTCCCCATGCCCTTAGAATACTTTTCTAATGGCCTGATGAAGTTTGAAAGTCTTTTGTATCGGTACTACATAATAACTGAGGTTAGAACACCACTGCACTTCTGATTGCAGCTTTCAAAAGGATGAGTAAGTTGGGTTTTTTCTTATTGCTGTAGCACTGAAGAAAGTGCGTAACTCTGCACAGAATGTATTGGAAAACAGGCCCTGGGGACGTGAGCTGAGGTCAGTCAGCCAAAAGCTTCTCCGCCAGGAATAAACCCAGTGCGAGATTCTGCTGGCAGTGGGCAGGAAACTAAAAGCTTCTGTCTGTGGAGCGTTCCCTGCGTGCTGCTCTGGGGAGTCGGGATTTGGAGGATCAAAGTGCAGAGCGAGTAATAAAGTGAGGAGTCCCCACGTATCCTGAAATTTTTCAGGGAAACCCGTTGCTATCGCATGTTGTTTATTCCCCTGCTGCATCCAAAAATAAATTAGTGTTTGGGTCAGGTTTTTTTTTTTTGGTTCAAATAAGATTGTAGGCGGTTACCTGTTGAGGATGGGGATTGTGTAGGACGGTAGAACTGCTTCCAGATTATTAGCAGCGTGGTCCTGAAGTAGGCTGATGGTCGTTCTCTGGAGTAGGGACATAAAGATGTCATCGAGGAAAAATGCCGCCCTGCCTCCTCTTTCTCCCTGTTCTAGGCCTTTAGTGCCTTTCCGCCTCCTGTTCTTATTTGCCCTGCTGCTTAAACGAGATTTTCAACCTACAGAGTTTATAGTAACATTCAATTTCTAGGTACGTATATAAACGTACAAGTAGTATGAGGCTATTTGTTTATAGATACACCCTCAGAGTTTAGAAACAGGTGCGCTAGGAAGACTACTTCTTCACATCCCCACCCCAAACAAACGCATATCCTCGTGTGATTCCTGTCTGATCACTCTAAGACCCTTCAGAAATCAAATCTTCCCTTGTAAACTCTGCTACTAATTGGCCCCAGCCCTGAAAATACAAGGAGGCGGTTGTTTGGTTTTTTTCCCCCTTTTCCCTTTCGGGGGCTGCCGCTAGAGGTCCCAGGCCGAGCTTCCCCAGGCCTAACAATGAGGGGAAGGAGGGAGGGTAGTTTTTCCCTCAGGGCGGCCCGGCCCCCTCAGGCCCGCCCAGGCCCGGTCGCTCCCTCGGCCCGTACCGGCCCAGCCCGGTGCCCCGGGGCCAAGTGGTGTTACCGTGGGGTGCGGGGGGGTTCATGGCTGTGAGGGAGGCGTTGGAACCCTCTCCCTGAGGCGATGGTGGCTTTTACCTCCCGTGTGTGAAGCGCTCTCCTCAGCGGTAGCCCCCGCTGGCTGGAGCGACTGCCCTCAGCGCGCACACTCATGCAGCAAAAAAAACCACCCCACCCACCTGTATTTAGAAAATGTTCTTCTTTTTCATGTGCTGCTGGAAGCCAGCGCTAGTAAGATAATGAGGAATTTCACAGGTTAGGGTGCGTTCAGGTCAGAAAACGCCTCAAAGAGGAGGAGAAAGGTGAAGGTTGTGTGTTATGGAGTTGACCGGAGAGGAGGCGTGAAGGTGTTTGCAAAAGGTGGGGAGATCGGCTGGGAATATGTATGTTTTTCAAGAGAAATTAGAAAATAAGTGGTTCTCAGAGTTTGCCTGCTTTCTCGGTGTGGCAAAGAGTAGCCTGAAAAATCATACAGCAGTTCAACATAAATAATGTAATTCAGGGACAATTAGAGGAATTGGATTTTAATTGTCTGGTAGGAAATGGCTAAGGTGTGAGCTTAAATGCCTCTCTTCCTGCCCTTTTTTTTTTTTTCTTAATCGTTTATAGGGATTTTTTTTGTTTGCTTAATCCAACAGCGGCTGAGGCTGCACGCCACTCTGAAAAACAAGCCAGATTGCTGGTTTTGCTCTTGAAAGAAAATGGCTTTGTTCAGTATTAGAAATACCTTAGGCAACTTGGACTTTGTAGAGGTATTTAATTTAAATACCGATTCGGTTTAGAAATACTTATTTTAAGATGTTGAAGCCACATTTGATGAATGCTCATTATTCACTTGCAAATTTAAAAGAAAAAATTATCTTGCCAAAGACTGGTGCCGTCTGTGGAAAAACCAGAAACTCTGGTGCTTATTTCAGTATTTGAATGCATAACATCTCTGCATTTTGGAAAAGTAGACCGATTATTTAGATTTAGAAAAAATATACATGTTATTTTTCCCATGTTACCGTTCCCCTTTCAGACAAAAGTATTCCTCATTCTTGTATTTATTCTCTTTCTCTTCTGTTCCTTGCTAGGGTTCCAGTGGATGCCCCTTCTACTTGTCTCTTGGTGGAAAACTTGCTTGTCTTTAATGGATACGGCTGCTGGTGGTTGATCTCTGGAGACTTTACAGCTCCTTACCTTTAGAGAGGAGATTGCTACTTGTCCCCTCGCGAGGTCCCAGTGGTAGTAGCTTTTTATCAGTAACCATCTGTGGGGGAAAAAGAAGATGCCTCTGCCTTTTGGGTTAAAATTGAAACGAACTCGACGTTATACGGTATCCAGCAAGAGTTGCTTGGTTGCTCGTATCCAGCTGCTCAACAATGAATTTGTGGAGTTCACGCTGTCGGTGGAAAGCACGGGCCAGGAAAGTCTGGAAGCGGTGGCTCAGAGGCTTGAATTGCGGGAGGTAAGTGAACTGATCAGCGAAGGCAGACTTTGCCTCTGGTGCTAGATGGTGTCTGTGATGACTCCTTACCATTTGGGGCAGTCGGTTTATTTGCTGGAGCAGCTATCCTGTTTCCCCTTGCTTTTTCACGTTTTGGTCTTTCTTGATGGGGTTCAAAACTTACGCTGTAGAGCTACGGAATGCGCATGGGGAGGATATGTGAGAAGTGGCAGTGAATAGAAGCTTGGAATGATAAACAAAGTGACTGTTTTAAACCTGGCGATGCTGAAAATGCTGTTTAAAAAAAAAAAGAGCAAAACATAAACCAACGAACTTTCTGCCTAAGCAATTTGGTTAAGAATTACCATGAGACTTGAGACAACTTTTAGCTAAGGATATGAAACAGAATGTTATTTCTGTGTGTGTATCACTTTCTGATGGATTAGTGCTGTGAAAAGGACTTAAAGAAAAAAATGTGATAAGTGTACCAGTGACCAGCTATTTGTATTGCTTGTTCAAGTACCACAAACATGTTTGCAGACACTGTCTCGGAGCAAACATATAGTCATTTAGATTGAGTGCTGGCCTCATGAGGAAATATGGTTTGCGCTAGTTGAATCTGTATATGTGTGCCTAACCTGACTTTTTCCTCAAAAAATCCTTACTTCATGTTTTGAAGGATCCTTTTCCAACTGAAATTTGCTCTTCTCCTGCACATGTAGTGATTATTCGTACATCCTCCTGTACTGAGCGAATTACTTCTGAAATGCTGAGCTGCACAATGTTGTTTATGGAAATCTACACAGATTACCAACATTTGAAGGAATGTAATTGTATTAAAATTTTAGTTGTTGAATGCTGTCAGTCCTGTGTAAACTGACATTTCCCATGAGCGTCTCAAAAGGTTCCTTTTGAAGTTCTCATAAAGTTCCTTAAACTGACAGCATCTGCATTTTTGGGGGCAGGAGAGGGGAAATTTTTAATAAAGAACTATTGTTCTAACGTTGTTCTGAAAAAGATGCTTTTGCTCTATGAAGTGATCTGCCATATAGTGGTGTTTTGAATAAGGGATTCAAGTACAGGATGAAAACCCCAGATGTGGGTAACCAAAATAAGGGTTATTGTGAAAATATTTTTTGTCTAGTAATTTCTGTCTAATAACTATAGGTTTTTGAAATGTTGTATTTTCATTGCCGAGCGATGGCAACAGCTTACAACTTTGCTCAAATATTGAGCAAATAAATTTGGGACTCAATCTTGCAGACACTTATTACTGTAGACAGCATGCATTACTGTAGGATTTCTCAGTAGGAAATGCTATATATAGTCACTTGTTTTCAGTTTGGAGAATAATAAATGAAATAGATGTGAATCCATTAATCTTTAAGTGTTTGTTTACTGTGGTTGTTTTCAATACCAATATGCACTCTTACAGATCTCTCAAATATTTTTTTTTAAGTGTACATTTATTTTGGAAAAATGCAATCCTGTGCAACAGTATGACTGTTGGGAGAATCTAACTACACTCCTAGCCTTAGTGTTTAACTTAGAACACATCAGATATCATGTATTTGGAATTTAGTTATTGTTATGTGAATGGAGTTTCTCAATTTTATCTATCCACTTTCAGATGTCACTGCTAAGTCAACAGAAGGTAGAGAATTTTAACTATATTTGGTTTGCAAAACGCTTAGGCTTTGTCTTCCTGAAGGATGACTGTTAGCTTTTATTGAACTAGTCACAGAGCGGTGAAGGTACAGTTTTTTTCAGCTATTCTTCATTATCTTTCTTTGGAGCTACTCCTAAAAATCTGTTTCTTTTTTTTTTTAAAAAAAAAAAAAAAAAAGATGGCAATAGCCTCAATTAAGAGTCATATATCAGACTAAGGGAGTTGACAGTACACTATTGAACTCTGAGCAGATTCCTTCAGTCATGCATTCTTGCATGGCTTATTTTGGCAGGAAAATGTGTTGCAATAAAAGGGAATGGAAAGTAGGGATATAAATTACTTTCCAGAGCTTGCATTTAAAAAATGTTGTTCTGCCTTTAAATAGTCACATTTGCCAAGCAGATACTGGATTATTCCTGACTGCTTGCTCGGTAGGAACTCTTCAGAAAGGACAAAATTGCTGAGCACTTTGCTTAAATCTGCAAAAACAACATTAGTATTTTACAGTATCAAAGACTAAGTACTTTCTGTAAGACGTTGCATATTTTTAGTGCACTGAGCATGCTTAAGGAGTGAGTGTGAATTCAAAGTATTAAATGTGAAAATGTGACTGACTGTGAATACTTAAGGCAGTTATGAAAGCGGAGGCATCAGTTTGGGATTACTGTATATGGTCCATGCAGTTGTGACATGCGGTCCCCGTGCACCTTCAAAAGAGTTTATTGCAGAAGGTATGAGGGGGATTGCTTCCTTTTTATACATGGAATGGTAAAATTTGTAAATGTCTCTTTCTCTCTGGTACAGTCTGCAATTACTGAATTTGGATGGTGAACTGAGTGGCTTATTTTTAATGCTGCACCTTCTTTTAAGATATTTGCTTTAGCAGATCTATATGTAAATTAGTAGTCTTCAGATTACACTAAACACTACTTTTCTTTTGGTTTTCCAATTAGTACTTATCAGTTTCCAGGTTGTGTACTAGTATGGACACAGCTAGGGGATAGGAAGTCTTAAGTAGGTTGAAAATTTTATTTTTTTTACTGAATGTTAGACTCTACAGAAAAGTGAAATGAATGTATTAAACTAGGAAAAAATATCTTCTGGTATTCCCAGAATGTGACTCATCAGCGAGCGGGCATGTAATGCAGCTCTCTCAAACTGAGGAACTGGGGAAGGAAGCCAAAGGGAAGAGGGAACATAAGTTACTTACCCTTTGTAGCTCAGCCTGTCTTTTATCCAGTGAGAGAACTATAACCAAACTTGATTTATGCAAAAAGCTGTATTTGTTGCAGAAAACCATTCTGGAATTACAAGTTCTGAAAAACTGCTGAGAGCTCTGTTTGTTAACTACCTTAAAAAGTGTCTGCAGCACTGCTCATCTTGCATCTAGGGTATGAGTATACAAATTAAATACTTGAAAATATAGAAATGGTTTTTTAAATGTTAATACAGCTAGGTATCTATAGGATGTTTGGCAGGAGATGTTACAACTGATTTACCTCTCTTGCTGGATCATCTTCTATTTCTGCTTTCTAAGAACACTTCTTAAGGAGAAAGAAGGGTCAAACTCTGCTACTGTGTACAAGCAGAGTCGGATTTAACTGCAGATACCTGGTAGAGATTTGGGCCCAATTACAAGATCTAATGGTAGGGAAGTTCTGTGGAGAGTCTGTAAGTTCCTGTGTTTGTTTCAGACATGAATAGGGAAAGAAGGAATCAAAGTTATGCGGGTCCTGAATAACTTTGAAGTTGTGAAACTGTGCTTGAGAAATGCTTGAGCTATGCTGTAAAACTTTGCTCTGAATTCTGAAGTATCAGCTCTTGTTTGGAGAAAACACAAAAAAACCTCCTTTAATTCAGGTTGGTGCTTTCTTAAATACGAGTTTTGCATTCATAAGTAGTGTTTTGAAAATGAGGCCAAATGCAACCATAAATATCCTTACATATGAATGTATCAGTAAACATAATGGCTGGCAAATAAAAGTTGGGCCAAGTCGTGACAGAGGGGTCACTAAGAGATATATTTATGCCTTGTAACAAAGTCTGGCAAAATTTTAGCTGGTGTTTGGAAAAATAAGAGAAGCAGGGCTCACAGTTGAACTGCTACGGTTGCCTCTCTGAAACAAGTTTTTGCTAAATTTGGGAAAGGAGAAATTGTCATGGAGGAATGCATATAAAAAAATGCAGACCTTCAGTGTGTAATCTAATTAATTTGAAAGCTGCTACTTTATTGAAAAACAAACGTGACTCCATCTAAAACAGTCATTAATTATAAGCATGCTGCAATTGTCATTTAGGAGCCAAAATAAATTGGAGGAAAGAGCACTCGGCCAAAAATCAGTAATTGCCTCAGTGCAACTATTGTAGGTCTTCCTTTTCTCAAGGAAAAGTGCTATATGTTCTGGTATAGTATTTGCACTCAGTCTTACCACACTGAGCAGCACAAAATTAAGGTTTTTCCATTAAGGCAATCGTGACAATTAGGAAGCCTAACCCCTGATTTCTTTAGCTTTTTTTATAAAGTTAGGTCAGAATTTGAATGTAACACCTAATTGTATTTTTGTGACTGTCTCAATGTCTGTGAACTGCTGCATAGTTTTAGAGCAATTTTGACAGCTTTTCTGTATTTCTGAATCAAAGACATTAGTTTATTGTTTAATAATTTTAGATGTCTTTGGAATTTTGCTTTTCCCCACTGTAAAGCAATGAGAATTTAAGCTTCTGGTGAATGGGAAGGTGGTACTTCTTTTTATATCAGTGCTGTGTAAGGTGTGGGTCAAAAGCAGGTATGTAAGTCCATCCTTCCCAGGGCCTTGGTCGGTGGTGGGGCAAAAGTAATGCAATTTAAAAATAAAACAACCTATGTTTTCACATTTCTTGGTCATGTTGATTGATAACTGCAAGTGGTTAAAATCTGTCTTGATTGGGATATAATGTCTTGTATGCGCTATGAAGGTATTGCTCTTCAGCTTGTAAATTAGCCAGTTTACCTTTGTCTAATTGCCTGTCAGAAGATCGTTTATTCAAGATGTTTGAAGGGTGTATAACACAGTGGATTGTGATTTGTGTGGTGTTTTAATTAGAATAAATTAGAATGTGTCAGATTACATTGCAAAGTATTGATTTGGTTTGTTTACTTCTTATCTCTGCTGTTTTGTTTTAAGCCATAGTTGGCAATGGTTTTGTTTTAAGCTATAGTTGTCAATTGCTTTGTTTAAACAGCATTTGGGAAACCCATACTGGAGTAGTTAGGGGTAAATAATTGTGGGTGGTGTGTTGGAAAAAAGGTTTACATTATGAAAGAACTAAGATTTAAGACTGACTCCTCGCTGTATTCATACAGCTACCCTGC